GGGGGGGTGATAGGATTCACCAGAGACAGAGTAGGGAGCAGAATAGGCAAATTGACTAAAATACACTGCTGAGGGCAGCAGCGGGTGGGTCAGGAGAGATCTGCCGTGCCATGTGGGTCAACTCCCTGGCCTGGATTCAAACTCATGCTGCAGTGGCTGTGGATAGCTTTATAGTGCTGCACTTTAACCCCTTAACTCCACCAGGGAGGGCTCCCACATGTGTTTTTAAATAAAACAAGATTCTTAGGATGCATGGACTGTTTTAGACACTGCCCACAGCCTTCCCCAGATTCAAATTCAATCATCTGTGGGGGGACCCAGGGGAGCCTCTGAAAGAGATTCCCAGCACAGTGGTAGACTGGGGGCTCCACCTGTCACCTCCACAGCCTGGGTGCTGTTCTCATGTTGCACGGGGAGGCTAGGTGGGAGGAGCGGAGACGCCACGAGTGTCAGAACCTGTGCACTCTGTGCCCTTGACCCGAGCTCTGCCAGCAACTGCTCTTTAGCCAGACCCTCTGCCTCACCCAGGAAGCTGGGACCTTATAGAACCCAGTCCGTTCAGAGCACTCCGGTGCTCCCAGCCTCAGGCTGGCCCGAGGAGCGTGGGCAGAAAGGTGATGCCGCTTCCCTCCGCAGGTGTCCCCAAGCTGTCCACGTCAGCAGCGTGCTAATGGCAAAGTTCTCCTGCTCAGAATGGTGGGAAAACCAGCACAAGATGCCTCCCCGTTTTGAAACACCAGGGTCGGTTGGGCTTTACCTGAGGGTTTGTCTGCCCTTAGTTCATCGGTCAAGGGCCTTTGTTTGGCATCTCGGGTGTAAACATCTTTGTCACAGCTGTATTTTCCATCTCCTCTCTGTAACTGAGAGAAATAAAGTCTTGGTGCATTGTGCTCAGACTTCATTCCCTTTAAACAAGGTCAATTCTCTTGTTAAAAATTCTCTTCTTGGCCCTCCCTAGTGGTACAATGGGTTAGGATGCAGCACTGCAAGCTGGCCACAGTTGCCTCAGTGCGAGTTCAATCCCAGGCCACGGAGGTGACCCACATGGCGCGGCAGACCTCTCCTGACCCACCCGCTGTTCCCTTCTGCAGTGGACTTCATGAGTCAGCCTGTTCTGCTCCCCGCTTTGTCTCTGGTGAATCCTCTTACCGCCTCTGCACTTATGGCCTGTACCCCAGTTCTGTATGCATAAATAAATAAATCTAAAAATAATTCTCTTCTTACATTTTCTCAAAGAGGGCTTATGGTATTGTGTTTTCAGTATAGTTCAGAAAGATGTGACCCTTTTCTGTTTGAAATAGAAGTGACATCTCTCTTTTTCCTATTCACTAGTACAGCCTCCACTGCGCGCCCCCCCCCACCCCCAAATAGTCTCTGGGCTGTAAGGCTGGGCTGCAGAGAATGTGGTGTGAAACTCTGCAGTCTCAATTGCAACCTAGTAAGTATCAGAGCATTCTCACCCACCCCACCACCCTCCTCAGGCCTCAGGTAAGCTGAGAATCACATGCTAGTTATCCCACTTACTAACTGGGTAGTCTTGAATCAGCCCCTTAATTCAACTCCTTGGTTTTCCTGTCTGTAAAATAAAAATATAGTTTTCTTATCTGAATTTAGTGAAAATAGCAAGTGGTTGTTAGACTTGTCCTTGATGGCAGGCCCTTTCCATGGGCTCTTTTAGTCCTATCAACCCTGGACTGTACACCAGTTAGTCCATTTCACAGTGGGGAAGCTTTAAGTTCCCCACTGAGCTTTAAGTTTCTGGGCCGCACAGGAAATGTCAAACCAGCCTTGGAACTTGGAGTGTTGAAATCAGCACCTGAAGGCCCTTAGCTGTTCTGCAGTGTGTCCTGGTGGCTCCAGTGAGGGGCGTGAGGCCGAGGCAGGCTTGCTGCAGGGGGCATGAGAGCGCCCTCCCCAGGGGGCCTGGTTAGCTACTGCATTTCTGTCTCATCTCCTTACACAGTTCTTGGGGACAAGGACTGTCTAATCCATCTGTTTTCCTTGCGGTGCAGGAATAGAATGGTATGGAGGACGTCTACTTCCCTTTATTCTGTACCGTTTTCCTACTCAAGTCTTGCCTTTTCCTCCAAAGCGCTGTGTGTAGCCCATAGAGAATAATCGGCTGTACGGTTAGCCTTTACTCATACACAGGAGAAAAATGCAGTAAACAGAGATGGATGAATTGTACACCACCACGTGTTACCTCTCAGTTTTGTACATATGTTCTGGCCCTCTTTCATGGAAGGTGTGCTATGAGGGCAGACACCATTTCTTTTCTTTAATTGTTTTTTTTTTTTAATATTTATTTATTTATTTATTCGTACAGAACTGGGGTACAGGCCAGAGATGTGGAGGGTGAGAGGATTCACCAGAGACAGAGTGGGGTGTAGAACAGACAGATCGATGAAGGGAGCAGTGGGCGGGTCAGGAGAGGTCTGCCGCGCCATGTGGTCACCTCCGGGGCAGGCAGGCGGGGATTGAACTCATGCGGAAGTAGTTTTCATTCTTAGTGCTGCGCTTTAACCCACTGCGCCACAGGGAGGGCCTCTTTAATTGTTTTTAAAGATTTATTTATTTATGCAGACAAGAACTGGAGTACGGGCCAGAGGTGCAGGGGGTGAGAGGATTCACCAGAGACAGAGAGGGGAGCAGAACAGGCAGATGAACTGAAATGCACTGCTGAGGGGAGCAGTGGGAGATTCAGAAGAGGTCTGCAGCACCATGTGGGTCAGCTTTCTGGCCAGGGGGTGGGATCAAATTTGTGCTGCAGTGGCTGCGGATAGCTTCATAGTGCTGAAACTTAACCCTCTGCACCACTAGGGATGCCCCATGTCTTTTGCTCATTCAATAAGCTCCAGAGAAAGCTAGGTGCAATCAGGCAGTCTCATGATGGCCCAGCTGTGCTTCTATTCTTGTCTGAAGCTTGCTGCTTCCTTGAGTTTCTCATAGGGCTGGCCCTTCCCCTCCTGTCCTGCCACAAGGTGAGTTCACAGTGCCTGTAATGTGTGAGAGGGTTGGAGATTCAGGCCTGGGAGACTAGAGACTAGTTGTGCTATGGCCCACGTACATTCGTGTCGTTTGTTTGCAAAGTACTAACTTGTTTTTTTCTTTTTAATATTTATGCATACAGAATTGGGGTACACACTAGAGCTGCAGGGGCAGTGAGAGGACTCACCTGACACGGAGTGGGGAGCAAAACAGGCAGATCTACTGAAATACATAGCTGAGGGGAACAGCGGGTTAGTCAAAAGAGGTCTGCGGTGCCATGTGGTCACCTCCGGGGAGGGTATCAAACTCATGCTGAAGTGGCTTTAGCTTCTTAGTGCTGTGCTTTAACCCGCTGTGCCACCAGGGAGGACCATAACTTGTTTTTTTTTAACCTGAGTATATGTACATGTGCTTTACAAATTGTTTTCTTTATTATTCTATAATTTGAAATAGTACATAACTTTTTATCACAGTAAAATAGGGACAACATCAATTTACCATTTTAACCATTTTTTAAGGGTAAAATTCAGTGCTATTAAGTAGTGTTACACCTATCACTACTCTACATTTCCAGAATTTTTTCATCATCCCAAATAGAAACTCTGTACCCCAAACAGTAATACCCTCTGTTACCTGCTCCCCCCACCCTGCACTCTTTCTGCCTCTGTGAATTTGCCTTTTCGAAGTACCTTGTGTAAATGGAATCATATAACATTTGCCTTTTTGTGACTGCTTTATTTCACTTAGCATAATGTTTCTAAGGTTCGTCTAAACTGTAGCCTGTATTAGAACTTTCCTTTTAAGACTAAATAATACAGCCTTATGTGCAGACTGGTTTGTTTCTCCATTCATCTACTGATGGACACTTAGGCCATGACCACATTTTAATGCCTGTGAATAATGCTTACAACATTGTTTTCAAGCACACTTACGACAATGAAACATAAGTACATTGTATTTTGCCACGTAGTTCCAGATAACACATAGAACATAAATAACTATAATAAGCAAAAATATAAACAGACCACAGAAAGCAAAGCACACTTTGTTCAGAGGATGAACACCGCTGCTCCATTAATAAGCATTTGCTGAAGCCTGTGCCAGCCACACCCTGAATTTCCAGCCATCCTTGGGGGTGGGGGGGTCCTCCCCAAAAGAGGGGTTTGAGGCCAACACAGGCAATGCTGGCTACAGGCAGGGAGAGAACCCTTCTTCGGGGAGAGAAGGACTCTGTGGAAGCTGAGGGCTTTGGCTGGTGGTGGTGGTGGTAGAGGTGTTAACTGGCAAATCGCTAGCTCTTCTCTTTGTTGGGCCTCACTTGTACCTTCCTGGGTCTTGGCCCTGTCTCGGGGCTTTGCTTTCTCTCACTTGGGTCACTCACCACTGTGAAGCACTCTTCATCCTGCAACTAAATGTTTTTTACTCGCTAGTGCCTCAGACTGTGTGGTCTGGTTTTGTGAGTCTCGGGCAACCACGTTCCCGTCAGCCTCCTGGAGGACTTACTTCTCTTCGGGAGACCTGGCATCCGGGCCCCTGTCCTCTGGCGCCCACCAGGTGGGTGCAGACCTGGAGCACACTGGCCCACTGCACATGCGCACAGTGACCCCCGGGTGGGTCACTCCACCTCGAGGAGGCTCACATGCAGCACGAGGGGTCTGGATAACTGCAATTTCGAGTGCCCGTATGATGATTGAATTCCTCCCTCCAGCACTTTTGGAGTAAATGACTCAGCGGCCTGATAGCTTCACTGCTTCGAAGAAAGCCTGATTACTTTGCCGTCACCAGCATTTGTTCTGCACTTAGTCTGATAGTCATGATCCAGCTGGAGTTCAGCTGAGACTCACTGATTGCTTAATGCTCTTCTCTTCCAGGGAAGCAGCCTGGGCCCCGCTGGCCAGAGGCACCCCAGGCATGTCAGAACTCTAACGGGTGACAGGGAGTGGCTGTTATCCACCAGCCTTCTCTGTCCGGCTCCAAGATGCTGAGCCTGAAGCTCCCCAGGCTGTTCAGCATTGACCAGATGCCACAGGTATGTGCTCTTTGCTCCAGGGGGTGACCGGGCCTTCGCCTCAGCAGCAGGGATGGGCACAGCGTGGCCTTCCACCTGAATGTTCTGCATAGGCCCACTCACTGCAGGGACTCCCTCCCAGACCAGCCTAGAGGATCAGAGCCTCCTGTTTCCCCACCTCCATCCAACCGGGAAGTGGACACGATCCTGGAACCATTCAGTTGTGACCCTTCCTTGTCGCATCCATCATTTATCCCACAGCAAAATCATCATGGAGATTACAGATTCAGGCTAGAGATGAAGCAGTTTTTTAAGGCCCCCCCCTCTCTGTCCCCCCACCATGGGGGCCAGGCACAGTCATCCTGGGCCATGCCATTGGTGTCCTCGCTAACAGGAGGCCCAGCTCAGGCTGGGTTGAGACAGGAGGTTTGTGAGAGGGCCCCAGCCCTGCCCCTGAATGGACTCCTGGGCCTTGGAATGCAGGCACAGCTGTCCCCAAACACCTGGGGCTTATGGACAGTCTGCATTTTTCATGAGTCTCAGGTGTAGGCCAGGCTGCCCCCGGTGAGGGCAAGCTGGTGCCACCTGTCCTTCTGGAGAAGAAAGCATAATTTCAACACACCCTGTCTTGCTGTCAAATTTCCTTCCTTTTTGGCTGAAGGAAAGTGATGTTACTTCTTGGCAGGGTGGCTCATCTGGAGGGGTTGCAGATGGGGAAGCTCTCCTTTGCACTGAGCAGCCTGCCAAGCTCTAGGACTTACCCCAGAGAAAGCAACCCTAAGCAGCCTCAGCACCATGAGTGGAAGATTAAGAAGAGACAGGCTGCCAGACTCTTCTTGAAAGCCTGCAGAGCTGGATGATTCCAGAAGATGGCATGGGGGGAAGCCTGACGCCAGGCAGAGCTGTGGGGTGGGAGAGGTGAGCTGTGGCAGGTAGCAGACACATCAGAACCTGCTCACACTGTGGAACAGGTGGCCCTGTCTGTCCTCACCCGGCCCTAAGTGTCCCTTCTGGGGCTGTTCCACTGGCTGACTCCACCCGGGAGCCTTCATAATGCTCCACTCACCCATGCTCACTCACGCACGGATGTTTCCTTGACTGTCCCCTGTATGCCAGGCGTGACTGCCTCGACTCAGGAGAGCCTTGTGGGGTGGCTGCCCCTCTTGGGCTGAGAGCTTGGCCGGGCAGTGTGAATGCATGCACCAGCCCTGCTGTGGCCCACTGAGGTGGGGTGTGTGCTCAAAGGGCCAGCCGACTTCAGAGGAGGGAGAGGCCATGACGGGCATGAGGGAGGAAAAGAGCAGGAAAGGGCTGATATTTAGGTTGATATGTGAGGGTGGGTAGGATTGGGGAGGTGGGAGAAGGTTCCAGGTGGAAATGAACAGTGTGAACCAGGCCAGGAGACAGGACGTCACTGGGCAGGTGTGGGCCCTTCTGGGGTGTCCGCTCCTGTGTCCTCTGGGTCTTTTGCTCTGGGTTGTTTGGAGTAAGAGCTCAGGAAAGAAGTGAAGGTGAGAGGGTGGTGCCAGAGGGTGGTACTGTGGTTAATGTGCTGGGGTTCTGAGGCTATGGGGGTTCGGAAGAGGACGGCTGGGCTGTTCCTGGGGGCTGCCTGTGTTCTCTGCCCACTTTTTCATACACAACGGTGGCAACAGTCTCCTGTTTAATCAAGTGGCTGGTCAGAGGCAAAAACCAAGCATCACAAATTGCACTTGCCCTTGGCTTTGGGACCTTCCTTGGGCTAATGCATCCTGATAAGATGCCGAGGGCAGGGGCTCCCGGCATCACGGGCTCGGGCATCTACCCAAGATTCCAGAAGCCATAGAGGAAACAGGGGCTCTGCCTGCCTGAAGGGTAGTTCTACTTGAGGACTTGGTGGAGGAGGGGGGAAGGCATTTGTGGGATATTAAAACAGGTGCAATATTAAGGATAAAATGTATAATTTGCCTGGCTAGATAAGACTCGATATATACATATCGCGCTGAGTTACGGTGGGTCTGTGGGCCCAGTCCTGGGTTTGCAGAGTGATCTTGCATAAGAAATCTGCCTTTTTCAGTTTGTGCATCTGTTAAATGGGGTGATGCAGAGTCTGATTCTTAGGGCTGTGATGAGGCATCACTGAGATGACTGCGTGCAGTGCCTGGTACAGGGTGAACTGTTGTCATCATCATCACGGCCGTGTCCTCCAGGCCCCTTGGGAGGGGTAGGCTGTGGGAGGGCACTGAGTAGCCCCGCTCCCGGACTTGAACCCCGGCCCCATAGCCTGTGGTCACTGCCTTCAGGGGCCTGACCCTGTTTCCCAGGCACACACCCTCTTCTCTGTCTCACAGTGGTTTCTTTGTTCTCCCTCCCAGCCTGAGCCTTCTCTCTGTTGACTGTTTGTGGAGGGTTCACCTCCTTCCATGCTCCCTTCTGCATGCTGGCCTCCTGCCCCAGAACCAGGGGGCTGCTCCCTGCTCCCTCCCGATCCCTTCAGCTGCTATCTGGCATGCTGCATGCGACCCTGGGGAGCCTCTCTCCCCTTGTCAGCATGGCAGACCAGGGCTCCTTCCCCACTCACTGGAGCCTTGCCCAGCGCAGGGGAACAGCCACCTCTCGGCCTTGTCGGGACTATACATCTGGCCAAAGTCTTGCTCACAGGAAAGAGCATTTCTGCCTTCCCTGAGGAGGCTGCATTTGGACATGTGCCTCCCATTTTGTGATCCCATAAACAGGCCCAGGTATCTTAATGAGCTAGGAAGTCATTAAAAACTGGCACAAATGCCTCAAGGTGTGGGCTAAATATTTAGGTGCTGATCTTCCCAGACCTGAGTTAAAGACACAGCAGTGGTGTCTGGACGACAAGGTCACGCAGAAGCTGCTGGGGCTTTGCCCAGGGAACTGGGCTTTGTGTTCTCTTGAGGAGCTTCTCTCACTGTGGTCCTGACCCACAGGCGACAGGTGCCTTAGTACAGGGGCCCCCATGGGAGGGTTCCTGGGGTGCTGTGCAGAAAGGGAAAAGCACACACTTCCCAACCTTGCCCGCTGCTCTGCCACTCACTGTGGGAATCAGCAAGAGTGGTGACTCCCTAAGCTCAGCTTCTGAATTGCAAAGTGGAGATAGTATCTGTTAGGTCAGCCTCACAAGGCTATTGTGAAGATTCCAGAATGAAGCACAGCCCAGGGGCTGCAGGATAGCCAGGAAGCAGGACCTGGGGCTTGCCTGGCGGGGCAGGGAGGTGCCTCTTAATGAACAGTGGCCTCTCCAACCCGATTGCCCAGTCTGGGGTGCTCAGGTCATTGGCACCAGTGTTACCTGAGACTTCTTAAAGTGTGATAGGAATCTTGATTGCAGGCACCTTGTATTGTTCTGATTTTAATCACAAGGGATGTTTTCAGGATTTCATCATAAAAATAAAAGTTGTATGCATGTATAAATAACCTTTTTCAAGCTGAGGATGTTTCCTCCACCACCACCCCCCCCAGTCCTAAATTTTCTCCTTTAAGTTGGTGTGAATTTTAACAGAATCCTTTTTTCCCATGGGTATATCTCTTGAGATGGTGTTATATAGTTCCTTTGAATTGTGAATTGCATTGTTCACTCTTATACAAACCTTGCATTTAAATATAACTTGGTTGTGATACAATATAATCAGCTGGTGTTGAGTTTAGAATCATTAAATCTATTTAATGAATTAGTCTCTCATTTTTCCTTCTTATACTATCCTCACCTGCGTTTGGGATTAAGATGATGCCCACCACAATGAGCAGAAGAATTAGCCTATTTATTCTATGGGGAGATTTGTTTAATACTCAGATAGAGCCACCAGATTGCCCACCGCAAGGGACCTCCACTCACCTTTCAATCTACTTGATGGCAACCCAGGAGTTAACGGTGTAGGGAACAACTCCATCCTACAGCTGAATTGTCTCCATGGACAGAAACTGTTTTGATCACAGCTCTGTGAGATATAAATCATATAGCATAAAAGTCATCCCTTAACATTACATGCCATTCATGGAAGCCCAGTGGTCTATGGTGGAGGGCTGCAGGTACTTTGGCCTGGGTATGGCATGATAACATAGATCTGAAGAGATGTGACCCTATCTCCCTCAATCATATATCTCAAAATCTATATTTAAAAAGGTGTATATATAGTTCAATGAATCTTAGCATGTTGACATATAGTATGTTACACGAAACTACCACCACAGTTTTAGGACATTTTCATCACTTGAGCATGACATTCTCTACCCCTCAGCAGTCATTTCTCATTACCCCCACACCCAGACTCATGGTAACCACTAATCTTTTTGTCTCTACTTATTCTAGACTTTTCACATAAATGGAATCCTCCACTATGTGACCTTTGTGACTGGCTTCTAGCACTTAATGTTTTCAAGTATTTCAGTGTATGCAACAGCATGTATTAGTATGTAATTCATTTTTATGACTGAGTAATATTCCATCTTATGGATCTGCCACAGTTTGTTTCTTTACTTGTCTGTTAATGGATACAAGTTGTTTCTATTTTTGGCTATAATGAATAATGCTTTTTGAGTGCAAATTTTTGTGTGAATGTATTTTCCATTCCCTAGGAGTGCATCATGTAGTAAATGCTCCATGTTTAACATGAACAAATTTTTGTGTGTGATAACATACACAAAATAAAATTTACTATCTTAATTAACCATTTTTTAAGTACACAGTTCTATACTATTCACAACTGTCATCACCATCCATCTCTGTAACATTTTTTATTTTGTAAAACTGAAACTCTACATCAATTAAATGTGATATCTCTCCCTCTTCCCCTTGCCCTAGCCTCTAGCAACTCCCATTCTATTTTCTGCCCATATGATTTTGACTCATTCATATAACTCATTCATATAAGTAGAATCATACTGAATCTGTCTTTTGTGATGAGCTTATTTATTTCACTTCGAATCATGTCCTCAAGGTCATTTATGTTGGAGCATATGTCAGAATTTACTTCTTTTTTAAAGTTGAGCAATATTCCACTGCATGTATTTCCTACATG